TTGACGACCCCACTGAGGGTCGTGACCTCTGGGACCGATGGCACTGACATTTGTGGAGCTGTAATCTCCTAGTGGACTAGTCAGTTTGTTAGTCCATATGTTCTGGGTCGACCAAAAAATTGTGATTGGCTGATTTATTTATTGTTTTTTTTTTTTTTTTACGTATATGTTTGGTGATAATTTTATCATGAGGAAAATACCAAGAGGTTTATTCATAATTTAGGTGGACATAGGTAGCAAGCCCTCTGTGAGTCAGTGGGTGAGTCACAGAGGAGCTGAGACTCTGTGAGTCACTTGGTGAATCACAGATGAGCTGAGACTCTCTGAGTCAGTGGGCGAGTCAAAGTGTAGCTGAGACTCTGTGAGTCAGTGGGCGAATCACAGATGAGCTGAGACTCTGTGAGTCAGTGGGCGAGTCAAAGTGTAGCTGAGACTGTTTGAGTCAGTGGGCGAGTCACAGAGAAGCTGAGTCTCTGTGAGTCAGTGGGCGAGTCAAAGTGTAGCTGAGACTGTTTGAGTCAGTGGGTGAGTCACAGAGGAGCTGAGACTATGTGAGTCAGTGGATGAGTCAAAGTGTAGCTGAGACTGTTTGAGTCAGTGGATGAGTCAAAGTGTAGCTGAGATTCTGTGATTCAGTGGGTGAGTCACAGAGGAGCTGAGACTCTGTGAGTCAGTGGGCGAGTCAAAGTGTAGCTGAGACTGTTTGAGTCAGTGGGTGAGTCACAGAGGAGCTGAGTCTCTGTGAGTCAGTGGGTGAGTCACAGAGTAGCTGAGACTATGTGAGTCAGTGGGTGAGTCATAGAGGAGCTGAGACTCTGTGAGTCAGTGGGCGAGTCAAAGTGTAGCTGAGTCTCTGTGAGTCAGTGGGTGAGTCACAGAGTAGCTGAGACTATGTGAGTCAGTGGGTGAGTCATAGAGGAGCTGAGACTCTGTGAGTCAGTGGGTGAGTCACAGAGGAGCTGAGTCTCTGTGATTCAGTGGGTGAGTCATAGAGGAGCTGAGACTCTGTGATTCAGTGGGTGAGTCAGAGAGGAGCTGAGACTCTGTGA